ATTCATGGCGACTAGACGAAGCGCGTCGAACTTCTGAACACCGACGACCGAATCCTTCTCGGTGTGTGCGTTCTCGACGAAGATGAGTCGTGATGCCACAAACTCCAGAGTATGGACAACGGTTTCGGATAGGTCGACGCTGGTTATCAGGTCTGACATCAATGAGAAGACCTTCTGGCAGGTGGTGAATAGGGTACTGATAACCTTCTTGTGCGCTGCAAGACGATGGAACAAGTTGCTAGTAGAGCCAGTACTCCGTAACTCAGCCGTGGGAATGATGATATCTTCTATAACGTTCCTGAAAAGACTCAATCCTTGCTGGATCAGATCCTCGGAGTACAGCTGCTTCTCTTCTCGGCCGCCACACATGATGCGGAGCGATGTGCGGGCGGCTTTGAGACCCACTTCAATATCATGAAGCTGCTGAGCCCAGAACCCCACGTCGGTTTCCCCCCATGTCTCGTCCAGCTTGAAATCGAGTGTATCCGCGTGCTTCAAAGAACCCTCGCCTAGACTCTGGACTCGAAGAAGGTCGTTTAGAGGCGCCTGCCGGAAACATCCCATGCCAATGGCTCTATTGATTTGCTTCTGAGCTTTGTCGTGCGCGGCTGCTGTCATAGTAGGTTCTTGCTCGTTCGACAGCGTGATTAAGTGTGACGCAGCTCCATGGCCGCTTGTTAGTCGGTCTTCCGCCGTGAAGATTTCTTGGAGACATCGGCGCAAGTCTCCAAACGCGGCATTGGCAAGTTCGCGCTGGTTGAGCTCTCCGCCAAGGGGGTCATCCAGCTCATCGTGGTGGGCGCGATTCCTCTTCGCAGATAAGTGTGCCGGGATATTAGGAGAATCAGGGACTACGGCAAACTCTTCTCTGTTGAGTTTTGCCACGGGCAACTCGATCTGAATACCACCCTGTTTAGGACTCGAAGTCGAACTAGGGTCGATTTCATCTTTTATATGGGATAAATGTTCAGGAGCACCGGATACTTCCCTTTTTTGTATAGGAGTCTGTGCCGATCGTGCTGCTTCTGGTTGTACCTTGACTGCTGGAGGAGGTGCCTGTGAAACTGGGAGAGCGGGTATTTGAGGAGTTACCATCAGGTCCGCAGGCGAGACTGTTTGGGATTGGATCTGTGTCCCCACGGGTGGCGACGGAGCTGGAGGTCTTGTAGGTGTGTACATGGACGCGGCTGCATCAAGCTCTCGACGCGTAGGCAAGGGAATCTCGATCCGGGCCTTGTTCTGGGCGACAGCCTGGGAATTTACACTAGCTGGGTTGTGCTTAACAACCTTAGGTGGCTCCTGTCTGCGCGTCTTCGGAGACGGCTTCTTCGGGTTTCGGGGCGACATGCTGTGGCCGTTTGGTGTAGTATTTGAAGTTTCAGTGGCATAACGGAAAGACACAGAGGTATTGTCATATACCAATCTTGCGAACGGCGAGATCCCGTCGGCGAGGCTTTTGGACGAATTAATATTATTTGACGAGGAAGTGTTGGGCGCGTTCTTAAATTGGCTGCCATGATTCTAGTTAGTGCCAGCTGTATATGACTATGTTTTATATGGTTTATTGCAAATAAACGACGATGGGGGTAAATGCTCACAATTGTGTGATTTTCTCAGTCTTTAGGAGGTGCTGGACAAACTCGAGGCTTCCCTCAACGCGCTTAGAGTGCCCAGGATTCTCTGCTTCCTTATTTAAGGCATCGTAATCTTCTCTAGAGATTAGACGGGTAAGTTGCGGTGCGAGAGGCCCGGAGCCGATAGTGGGATTGCTGATGATATCTTTTAAGTTTTTGAATTTTTGTTAGGTCCGGAACATTTGATAAGAGAAGAGAAGAAGGAATCGGCATATGGGGGTAAAGAGTGAAGTAAAGCGCAGTGCAGTGCAATCAGGTCGCAAAGGCAATTGCACCTGCACCTGCACCTGCGACTGCGACTGTTGCTATTGCAAGAAGAATGGAAGGGAAGGTGCAAGCGGAACAGAGTAGTCACAGCTTACCTGGATCGAAAGGAAAGACCGACGTAAAAGGAGTGTAAGGGAGGGCTTCGTTCAACGTGAATGGTTGTGTATTATCATATTGCTGCTGTTGTTGTTGATATTGTTGTTGCTGCTGCTGATGATGATAGGCACCGGATCCAGGCGGTCGATAGGTTTGTTGGTTATAGTAAGGCACGGTGCCATTGTGGTTGCTGCTCGGTTGCGGATTTGCCATGATAACGCATTCACCAACTCCTACTCTTAGTATATATAGCAACCGAGTTGCTTAGCTTTCCGTCGTGCAGAAGTTGGTACCTAATGCCACTTCATCGCAATCACCTTCGTGAAAAATAGAACAGGGTCGTGATTCGTGCCATATGTAATTACCAAGAAAGGTGGACTTTATTGTGATTCTAGAGACAGACAACACGGTTAGAAAGGGTTGTTTCATATAGGTGGTAGATATGTAGTTGCTACATGAAGAAGAAGTGAGGATTCTAAATGCAAAATCACCAAACGCGAACAGCCTTGACGACCAGCCTTGCGCAACTCGGGAAACTTTAGGTTAAGCCATGGATGTACCTAAACCGGGGTCCCGCCACGACATTCCATGCTTAACACACTGTGCATAAGAGATGAGATATGTGTACATGCATGTATCCATACGTGTCAATCATGCGGAGACAGTACATGCATATACGTATCTATGCCGCAATGGGAAGAGATTCGCGCCTTCTATGTAACACCAAATTAGCAAATGGCCAAGTGCCAAGAACGGCGCGATGATAATATCGATAAGGAATGAAGTTATCGATATGGAAATTTAATAAATCTCAGCAAGACAATGGGACATTTCCAGCTGTCAAAGAAACCATTTTTTCCCCTTCCCGATTGCCTGCATATCTTCTTTCACCACTAACCATTCACCACGCTCTCCCCCCAATTTGAACAATGGCAGCAATTGGTTCTCTGGTCTTTTGCAACGATTGTGGGAATTTGCTTCCCGTGTCGAAAGGCAATGTGAAGAACATTTTAAATTGCGAATGCTGTGGTGCTGAAAACAGAGGTTCGTCATATCTGCACATCAACCCCAGCCAGCCTACTAGCATATTTCATCATTCGTCTCCATTCCATTCGCTGACAGAGTAACATGGTAGATACGGCATCCAAGACCACCGTTACCCAAAGCAAACCTTCCGATTTCCCCTCTTTACTCCGACAAAAACTCTCCATCGTGCAATCTGTAAAGCGACACGACGTCCAGACCGAAGCCACTATAAACGAAACCTGCGAGAAGTGCGGACGAACCGAAGTCAGATATTCAGCAGTGCAACTACGTAGCGCTGATGAAGGCAGCACCATCTTCTACACCTGCGATTGTGGTCACAAGTATGTTGCTATCCCCATTATCGAATCAGAATATTTGTTGCTAATCCAATAATCTCGGAATAGGTGGAACACCAACAACTGAGATTCCCCCAATGGAGAATATCCTGTAGACTTCTCAGGTAGTAACGTTAAGTCCGGAGGCATTCCATGTGAAATAAAATCATGCGCATTCCTTTTGGTATCCCTTCCGCCAACCCAGATGTAACGCCATTCTAAACTCCTATTTATGCTGCTACTTTCGGCGCGTCAGGGATGAGCGCATACTCTGCTTGATTGGACTGTTCATAGTCGGCCATGTCCAAGGCAACGATGACACTCTCACGTACTACCTTCTCCCGGTCGTGAAGGAAGCGCTTCAGTGTCTCCTCAACCCCTTCCTCCTCGCCTAAACTTCCGAGCGCCTCCGCGGCTTCGTGTCGAACCATGCTTGCCTCCTCCAAATTGCTAAGCGCCGAAGTCAGAGCCGGGATCGATGCCGGATGGGAGAGTTGGCCAAAGACAAAAGCAATTTCGTGACGGAAGAGGGCCGACGAGTCTTGGAAACCTTTGGCTAGAGCATGGATGGCTGGGACTGCTGTAGGGAGGTCTGGCGGCGATGCGAGATCGCGGAGTGCGAACATGGCGCGGTATCTAAGGAAGAGAGGCTGGTCTGCGTCCATTAAGGTCTTCTCTAGTTCTTCGACGGTCTGCTTGGTATCGGGCATCGGGGGGGCGGGATCGACCGAAGCGAAGTCACTGTGTCCTCGTAGTTAGCGCTAGTCAAGATCGTCTTGCTTGGTCGCTCCCATCAATATAGATAGGCACATATAAATGAACATACCTCTGATGCAGTTTTTCAGCCTTTCGTTGCTCAGAATTCTCCCATTCGATTCTGTCGATGGCGATTTCACAGGTCTCCTTGATGACGACATCCTCTCCTTCGCGATCGCGGAATTTGCGCAATATATCCAGATTCCCGGCGTCGCCTAGAGCGCCAAGGGCTTCTGCTGCTTCATGTCGGCACATGGTGTCTTCTTGGAGGTCTGCTAAAACCTTCTGGAGCGGGGGTACAGCAGCTAGGTTAGCCGACTGGCCGAGACAATAAGCCAGTTCATGCTTAAGCAGGGCGGACGGGGATGCAAACGCGGCAGCGATGGCGTCTATGGCAGCGACGGCTTGGTCGGCAGTGCCATGTCGCGCGAGATGCTTGAGGGAGAAGAGGGCGCGGAACCGGATGGGTAGTGGGGTAGCTTCAGAACCCAGAGATTCGCGAAGGCTTGCGATGGTCGCCAAATTATCTGTATCAGACCCCATGACGAGTAGAGTAGAAGATTTGGAAGTCTCTATGTTGTCTCAATTTTTGCGGAAAATAAGAAGAAATGATACAAAAAAAGATAGTAGAAAATTAAGAAAACTTGGCTTCAAACCGTAATAGAAATTTTGGATAATGAATAACTTTCAACTTTGAACTTTCAAGTTTGTTATCGACGATAAAGCAGGCGCAGACGCAGGCGACCCCTCTGCCCCTCTGTCAAAAGTAGTGGATCCCTGAGAAAATTATCTGTGGGCTTAGTACTCTAGACAGCGACGCAGCTAACGTTACGTAGTATAATATGGTTTAGCCGCCTGAAATCATATGCGAAGCAAAACACCTTCAGGTTTCCTAGTGTAATGGTTATCACAGCGGATTCTGATCTACTAAAGTAGGGCGTTCCGCTAATCTGGGTTCGATTCCCAGGGAGACCTTTTTGCCCTGATGACCGGAGGCCTTAGGCACCTAGGTATCCTAGGCATTTAAGGTTTTTAGTATAGTAAATTTTCTTCCTTTATAGGCAAGGACATGTTCTTTCGTTTTTAGTTAAGACCATTTATCTCAATTATTTTCTGCTTTCTTGTCGACAAAAAGATTTCCCGACTAGTGTCAGCGATGTTAGTATTTTAGGTATTGTGTTAGTAGATTAAGTACCTAACGTGATTTTGTACAATGAGGTAGTCAGCTACGTAACTATGACCATTCCGTCGCTTTATGTCGTGCGATACTGTAATTGCAAAATGTAAGTTACCAGGCATACTACCGCGTAGTACCTCGAAACCGTCTCCGTACAAGAACCAAATTAAAACATCCGTCTTAGAAGCTCCGCAATTCTGTCATACGGTCAGACGGTGGGTGAATCTTCTCATATTCTCCTCACGTTGAACAACGTGATCATCCCACTTTCAAAAAACATATTATTGCTTCGACCGCAGACATCTTCATGTCCCAACAAAAACAAAAATTGGCAAAATGGCTTTACATTCCGCGAGTTCGGACAGCAAGCTTATATGTACGCAATGACTAGCTATCCGTGCAACTTGCATCGTATTAACTGTCTATCGTCTAGTCGCACCTGCGGGCAAAGAGGCTCACGGCCAAGCAGAACAATTCACTAGAGGTGCATTAACTCGCTCGGATCTCGATCCTACTTCGCCTATTCGTCAGTTCCATAAATGGTTCGGCGCTGCACAAAGATCGGGCGTCGTCGCACACCCCGAGACGTGCTGCCTTTCTACCGCATCGCTACCATCTGGTCGTGTGTCTTCTCGTATGGTCTATCTAAAGGAGCTAGATGCCGAAGGCTTTGTTGTGTATAGTAACTTTGGCACGAGCAAGAAGGCCCAGGACCTGGTCACAAATCCATGGGCTAGCCTTACCTTCTGGTGGGAAGACTTAGAGCGACAAGTTAGGGTAGAGGGTCGGGCAGCCAGACTTACACGCGAAGAAAGCCAAATGTACTTCGATACAAGAGTTCGTGGGAGCAGACTTGGCGCCTGGTCAAGTCGTCAGAGCCAAGTACTAAAACCAACGGAAGGAGATGACAGTGCAGATGATGGACGAAAGATTCTTGATGAATGGGTCAAGGAGACCGAAAAGCGGTTCGAGGGAGAAGACAATATCCCGGTTCCCGAGTTCTGGGGTGGCTTGAGAATAATACCGGAATCGGTCGAATTTTGGCAGGGTCGGCAAAATCGGCTTCATGATCGTTTCGTCTATGACAAGAAAGCATCCGCAGAAGTTGATCAGGAATGGACACTGGAGCGACTTAGTCCCTAGGTGCCATCAGTCGATCTTGAATGTGAATCATTCATCTCCGAACAATATTAAGGCCAATGAAATCCACAGTTGGACTCCTTCTCGTTATCCGTCTTTACCCCTCCATCTTCACGGGCCACCTACTGATTCATCGACAACCTCACCGGCATCCCTGTTCAGGCAGTAACTAATCAAAAATGCAGCCACATTTCAAGCCGTGCATACATCCGCTCACTCGGTTTATTTGCTCGACTAACGCCATTGAACACCATTGCCAAGCACGTCGGTGAAATCCTTCCTCTGCTTCTTCTCTACAAAGATGGCATATCATCAGTGATATCTTCGATGGAAAGATATCCCCGGTGAGAAGCAAGCAACATTCTCATGGCAAAGAAAGGAAATTTTGGTTGCTAATGCCTATGGGTTAAGATAAGTAAGCCACTACGCTCGTGGCTAAGATCTCTGTCGATTTTCTCTTCAATCCTGTTTATACCAATCACTCATATAATTTCTTATTTGTCTACCTTATCCATTTTTCAAATTCTATCTGTATCAGTTTAAGTCACATGTGGTCCTGTTCACTTATGTTCTTGCAGATGGTACGTTACGCAACGCAACGCTACGCAACGGTCTTATGTGCCTGCTAAGGCATTCGCTGCAGAAAATGTGCCCTTTTGACCTCAAACAAGCCGCGTCTTGCCGGGCCAAAAACATACTAATATTCCACTCTGCATATTACATGTGAACTGGGCTACTACCTCCCATGACAAGCAGGAGGCCAAACCCAGCAAGCACCCATTGGAAACTCAACAAGATACCGAGATCCTAGACACCCCTGAGCCAACTACACTGTTATGTTAACGCACCCATACCAACTCGGATCCTAGGATTACTTCTCTGCCGCGGTGTGGCTTGCCCGATGCAATGCGTCCAGCATCCATTATCCATTGACGGAAGAAATCTACAGCAACTCCAGAAGGAAGCAAGCCTTATGAGATCATACGATTTAGCATGGTCTCTCAATCAAAAATATCACTTATGCATGGTTGAGATATCAGATAAGCAGCGAAGTACTTAACCCGAGCAGGATTTCGAACGCCACTGTGCTTATAGCTCGCATGGTAGTTGTACTCCTGGGTAGGTATACCTAGCTCGTTTTTGCCTACATCTATTGGCATCCACAGCCGCCAGGCCAATCTTCCTTCGGACTTAGTCACAATTTCTGCACCTGGCAGCTAATGTCTATTCCACCCAAAAGGGCAAGTTATTAAATTAATCTACGTCATGAGGCCAATGACCATTCACACAGATTGGAGACTGGTTTTTTATATGTGAAACAGAATCCGAGCACGATTTCCATTCACTACAATCGAACGAATGGCAGATTGGGTTCTGCCATAGTCCAAGCCAGGAACCAAACTTTTGGTACTGTACTACTCATCCCGGCCTTACCTCTCCACATCTCTCAATACCGAAACAATCTACACGCAGTGGCACGCGGCCTGTCATTACTAACGACTCTTCAGATCCGCCTGTCCAGGGTCAGCTCAGCGAATGGAATGATAGCATATATGACCTTTGTAGATTTGCTATCCCGCCTACCTAGATCTCCGCGGAGAGCCGTGTGGAGATCGTCGGGCGCACAAATCGCCTCCCAAGACGACGGGTAGCCCAGCCAACAGCTAAAGCAACAAGCTGGGATATCTAAGATCGATTCTGGCGATACGCATCTGAAGAATCTACAATATTTCGGTCTATTTGGTACTGCTGTCATCGTGGTCCAGTATCGTCCATGCTCCGCCGATACAACTTGCCCGCTTCGCACGTGTTTTTAACTCCTCCTGTCAAGCATTCTGTTCACCTTATATCTGACCCCCACCGACACAATCGGAGATGTAAATACATGCAATGCAGGCAGATGCAGTCTCGTAAATGGGCTGGACTATCCCTTGGCCGTATGTATAACTCTCAAAGTTAAGATTGCTAATCAAAATACTTGTATCGAATACCAATGCTACATGCAGACACCTTGCAGCCTCATCCAAAGGTGTGGAACGGAGTTCGCTACATAGGGTATGGATGAACTCAAGGCCAATAGAGTTTCTTTTTTTTTTTTTTGCATCTGGAGGCCACGGCGGACCGAGCGCGACCAGTTGATACCACGGGTCATATTACCTTCTCAGTTATGAGAATAGTCCCAATGCACTCACCTAAAGGTACCTTACTTACCCTAGCCCGTCTGGCGTAGTTACTTACAGGTATACACCATAATATGAGACCAATTTCAAGTTACAAACGCCTCATTAGCATCAGAGCAATAAGTTGGCATGCATGGCTGTCTGCTCGTCATGATCGGTATGTGTGCTAGGAATCGACGTGAGGAGTGTCTCCTTAGGGGACTTCCTAGAAGATATGCTTTCTCACACATAATATTCCTCCTGCGCCATATTATTCCGTCAGTTCCTCGCTTTTATCGACCATTTCAAATAAATTTGGTACTTCATCTACACATCATAGCCTTTCACGATCGGCTCCTTTCCCCAAGTTGCTCAAGCAAGATTTACGATTCTCCAAATTCTCGAGCTACTTGAAACCTACAATCGACATCAAGAGTGTCCTATCACTTCTCTATATCAGCAAGCATTTATACTTAGAAAACATGGGATCAATGGATAAAGCACAACTTGCTAGGACTCGAGAAAACCAACGGAGGTCAAGGGCCAGACGCAAAGAATACATACAGGAACTCGAGATGAAATTGCGGGATTTTGAGTCCAAAGGTAGGGATACCACCTACGCCGTTCAGCAAGCCGCTCGTCGGGTCTATGAGCACAATAAGAAGTTGAAGTTACTCCTCAACAGTTTGGGGTTTGACGACAAACGACTTAACGAGTATCTTAAAACTGGCAGTTTGAGTTCCACGGAGCCTACAGTCACAGATCCCCGACATGACCAAGAGGACCCAGTCCAAACATTGGAGGCTCTTTTACCATCTCGTCATATACCGCAACCTGATCCGATGCTTAACGCAGGATCAATACAAAACAACTTTATCTGCAACAACATTGGCAGAGGCGACACCATTGTTCCTTCATCCCAAACAGAACCAAGCGCGTTTGATACTGGCATAGACAGCTACGCACAGCTACATGACCAGCTTCCACTGAGCCCGGATATCTCCAGTTTTGACGCCCAAGGGGTTCGACCATCCTTGACTTCCAGCACCAGTATTTATAACTGTGCCCAAAGCCAGCTGGTGCAACACACATCGGAGTTGGACGAATCCTGCGAGAAGCTCTACCTATTTCAAGTCGAGGGATCCAAAACAAATCTAAGTGACAAAGACATTTTACTTGATAGATGTGGAACAAGCGCGCTGCGAGGCTTTCGGGGCAATCATAGCGATGCTACTTCTATCTCTTCTGAAGATAACTATACGGCTTCCACTGGAGACACTTTCGTACGAGTCCCATACCAAAATTATTGGGACTTTGATTACTTTTATCCAGATCAACACGCCAATGGTACCAACAACATCGCGACAGATATGATCCGCATCTTGCCATCCAGGGGCGTTTCGTCTTATATTAGTTGTGAGAGCTATGCAAAGAACAATGTAAGTAGTGATTTATAGGAATTAAAGGCAGTTAGACTAAAGTCTTAGCTAGCGAATACT